ACCCAGGTCTGGATGTTGCAACCATAACAAAAACTGTTGTTGAAAACATCCGCAAGAAGGATGCTGGTGAATTCAGTCACCATGACCATATGCTAGATACGGGCACAACAGAGGTGAGTGTACCATAATAGGGCAGATGTTCCAGTTTGCAATCAACTGCAGAGTGTTTTACTGTATATAATCCATATTTCTCTTTCAACAATGGTGAAAATTGCCTTGAAGAAGCCTGTGAGGGAAATGGGCTTTCCATGTGAACAAGTGAAGAGTTGAATTGCATGAATTCCTAACTCGTTTCTACATCTCCTTGATCTTCTGGTCTGTGGTGTATGTTGCTGAGCAGCATGTCTGTATGGAAACAATAAGTGCAGATAAAGCCCATGAAATTTCTATAACAAAGTATGATGTAGCTGAGAGTAGGATGATATTGTAGCCTCTAAGAGTTATGAGGATTAATACTTTGGCTCTCAGATCTACCTTATGAAGTGCTCAAGTGACGTAGTCTCGCTACAACAGATGTTGCCTTTGTTGGCAGTTTCCTTGCCATTGCTATTGAGTGTCAGCTGGATCCAACTCAGTGCTTCAGTGACAGTGAGGTACTGTTAACAGCTTGCATTCAAAATACTGTTTAGAAAGCAACTGATAGTTTGCAAACTTGTGGCAATTTTTTTGCTGTTCAGTACAAAGTTTAAACTCTCTAAGCCAAATAGATAGTTTATCTAATGCAAGAGCTGGAAAACTGTGATTACAGGCTGATGACACCCCTGAAGATTATAGCAAGGGCTCCATGAACCATGTTTATGCAGCATATTCATATTAAAGTTTGAGGAAGATGTGGGATAGTCCATAAAAAATTTTTGAGAGCTGATGCTCAGCCATTGGTCTGAATATCTTGGGAATACTTAGAAATGGATTTTTGAATTATTCTAGATTGCAGAGATTGTTTTCTAAGCTTTTGATACTGAAGTTGTGAATAAAGCAATCCTCATTTTTATGTCATAATTCTATCCAAAGATCTCTAGAAACTTGTGTATTTCATTAACCAGATTTAATGTGTCTAACAGGCTGTATGCTTGAAATGTTTATCAATCTATATGTTGTTTTTTACAGGCGGATCAGCTGAAAATAGATGTAATTGACTGGCTCGTATTTGATCCTGCACAGAGGGCAGAAGCACTTAAGCAAAGCAATGCAATCATGAGGAAGTTCTTGGGTATTAAACATTGCAAATATTGTAGATGCTTTAAATGTTGTTTTTGTTCTCATTGGCTCTTGGCACTACATTTGATATAACTTTGAATCTGGTCTGTTAAAAAGCATGGGTTTGTCAGTTCATAAAAATAAAGTATGGACATTGCAAAGCTGTTGATACTCAGTTCGCATTCTCATAGCATCCAAGAAACATGAAGCTGCAAAAGATGTGTTTGTGAAGATCCCTCAAGACTCTATAGCAGAAATATATAACCAGTGGGAAGAACAGGGAATGGATACTCCACTTCCAGCTGAAGATGACAATGCTATACGGGAACATTTATGTATTCGGGCATATTTGGTGAGTTTCAAATATGCTCTGTTCCAAGTTATTACTTAGAAATAATGGTGGCTTTGCCTTGGGGGTGAAACTTGAAGCTTTGTCCGTTTGATTTAACTTCTGATTCCTGGATGCACTATAGCTGTGCATTTAATGACTTTCTTGTAATTATATGAGCTTAAAATGTCTGAACACTGTTTCCATTGCAATCCAGGAAGCCCATGAAACCTTTAATGAATGGTTTAAACATATGAATTCGGCTCCACAGAAGCCTTCTTTGTTATCACAAGCAAGTTTCACTGAAAAAGTGGCCCATGAACATAAAGAAAAGAAGTATGAGGTAAGTATAAGTTCAAGTTATTTGCTATAAACGTTTACATTCTTGCTTAGGAGTCAGTTTTAATTTAATGAAACAGAGTAGAAAACTGCTAATTCATGTTGCTTAAGAAATCTATTATAAATTATTCTATTTTTATGTTGAGATAGTATGAGACAGTAGAACAGTAATACCACAGCACATTAAATTCTCATGGCTTTTTTAATATTACTCAGCTTTACATATAATATTGTAATATAATAGTAAATATTCATTCTAACATGTTGATGGTCAGTGTTATTAATAAATCTGAGTACTTGATTTTGCTATTAACTCTTTTTTTTTTATTCTGGTGTTTGTCGTATTTTCTTTTCTAAAAGATGCTGCCGTTTTGTTTTGCCAAAAGTTATTTTTGCATGTCTGGCCTGTGTGAATATACTGTATTCAGTTGATATAAGTATTTGTTTTATGGCAGAATGAGTTTAAAATTATCTTTCACTAGTGGCTTTGCTTCTGAGCAACCTGTCTGACTCTCTGGACAGGGAATTAAGCAAGGATGGAAATAACTGTTAGCAGCAGCCTCTTAAGTTTCAGTCATTAGCTGAAGATTCTAATTTTAATTGGAGCTGTGCTGGCTGTTGCAGGCTATGTGAAGAGTCTGTGTTAAAATAGCCTTGGAAATGATCTTGTTCTGCGGTAGTTTATTTTTTGTTTCTTTGCCAGATGGATTATGGTATTTGGAAAGGCCTTCTGGATGCTCTTACAGCTGATGTGAAAGAGAAAATGTACAATGTATTGCTGTTTGTTGATGGAGGATGGATGGTTGACGTTAGAGAGGTAAAATTAATTTTTATATCATGGCACAGACCACAAAGCACAGATTATACCCAGTTGTACCTTTGTCATCCTTAGTTTGATGTACTTCTGTTTAGTTGACTCTGGCCTTGCTATGACCTATTACAGATTGATTCCCCTTCAGTTACCATATAAATCAGATCTGACAGTCTAGTCTAGGCTGGTCAGTCCAGTTTTTTGCCTCTGACGCTACTAATTACGTGGTTATGCTGAGATGCCTTTTAAAGGTAGATGTTTGTAATACTAATATGTTATTTTGCTATGGTAAGGATGCTGAGGATGACCCGGAACGAACACACCAGATGATTTTGCTGCGAAAGCTGTGTCTGCCAATGATGTGCTTTTTACTGCATACGGTGTTACATAGTACCGGACAGTATCAGGAGTGCCTGCGACTGGCTGACATGGTTGCTTCTGAGAGACACAAGCTTTATACGGTGAGTTGGTGAGAGCTGCAGGCAGCTTGGCTTCCATTTAAAAGCTCTGTGGGTTGACTGTGGAAAAACCTTCTATATAGAGAGGAAGACGCCATATGTTCTTTAACATCATAAGTTTCTTTATCTCTTCCCATTCACTGCAGTAGTAGTTTCCTTGTATACTGACTTAAGGAATCAGAGAGTTAACTTTGAAACACCAAGGATGATGCAGGTGTTTTGACAAGCAGTTCTTTGGAGTAGTACAGTTACTGGTTTTTGGATGGGGGCTGTTGAATTGAAATAAGCTTAATGGTTGGACTCGATCTTAAAGGTCTTTTCCAGCCTAAACAATTCTCAGTTGAACTGTAGAATTGTAATTCAATTTTTTAAATTTCCATTACATTTCAGAACACTGTGTAAGTAAGTTTTGTTTTGAAGCACTTAATTTACCCCTAATCTTCTTTCCTTCCAAAAGCCTGAAAAACAGCCCCAAAAAACTTTATCACTTAAACCCCAAACCTAACCCAAAAAAAACCCCACCACTAAACCACAACACTTCCCCCCTCCCTGCAAAAAAAAAAAAAAAAAAAAAAAAAAAAAAAAGCCACAAAAAAAAACCAAACAAGGATTAGAAATCTGAAAAGAAACATCAAGGCTAAGAAAAATAATGTGATACATTCATCTCGATTGGTTTAAGATCTCTGCCAGCAATAACAGGAAAATTAAACTTGGCTGTTTACCAATAATCTCTGTAGTAGTTCTGAGACAGAGCTATTTTGAGACTACCTTCAGGTTTCGGATACTGCTACTAGCTTCCAGTCCTTTACTAAAATGCCATTCTGAAATGTCTGATGTTCTCAGTCTTAAAGAGAAAGAAGAAAAAGTAGTAACTTAACCACCATTTACTTTGATATCAGTGCTATTCATTGCAAATAAATATAACTTTATTATGTGGTTGGTTTTTTTTTATTCTTAGGTATTTTCAAAAGAAGAACTCCGAAAGCTTCTACAGAAGCTGAGGGAATCTTCTCTGATGCTTCTGGACCAGGATCTTGATCCTTTGGGATATGAAATTCAGTCATAGGATTTCATGTAGGTACTTGCAAAAACTTCTGAACATGGACATTCTGGTTATAAAAAAGCAAAATCATGACTTGGACAAACTTCTGGTCTTGGGAGGAAAAATGCAACCCTCAGACTTCGGTTTCAACTTGAAAAATTCTGACCAACTTCAGAGCTGATATTTGTTATACAGCTTTTTTCGTATTTTTTTTCTAATAAAAGTGCTTCACAAACAGGAAACGTTTGTTCCTTCTCTAAAATGTCATTATATGAATATGGTGATTGTATGAACCTCTTTAATCTCTTTGCTACATGCCAAAGAGCTGCCCCTAGACTGCAAACATTACTTGGTGGGAGAACTAAGTGCAGGGTACAGTGGAGAGTGAGACTGCAGGAGGAAGGGTGTGGAAAGCAGGGGAGGAGAAACCAGGTGCAGAGGGCTGGAGGAGAGGGATGTCACAGGAAGAGCGCACATGTCAAAGGGCCGTTGCCAGCCCTCCAGAAGAGAGAAGGGCTTTTCTTCAGGGCTTGTACTGTTCTCACCTACCTTGTGTAGTTGTTAAAATGCTGGTGTAGTCCCGAACTGGAGGAAAAAGTTGGTTGTATATGGAAACTCACAAGTTTGAGATTTTCTCATCTCTTTGAAAACCTTGTTCTGGCGCTGTTTACACTAAACAAACATTCAGCTGCTTGTCCCTTAACGACAGCGTGGAGGACAGAGCTGTGATGCAGCGGGGCCGGGGTTCCCGCGGATCGGCGCCGCAGCT